TTTAATATTGTAAAAATAACTTTTCTAAAATGTTGTTTACATCTAGAAAATTGTACTTTAAATGTCAAATGTATTTTGTTTTTTTAAATAATCCACAAAAAATGGAAAAACAGAAAATTATTTGTAAAAAATAGTAATTTCATACACACTAATGTTTTACACTAAAAACCCAGTATTACACTATTAATTTGTTTAACCACTAATATTAATGTTTTACACTAAAACAACAGAGAGCACTACAAAATGAAATTCTCCAGGCCTCACACAAACTATGTTCTTAATATGAAAATGAATTGCAGCTACAATAGTAAGGTTTCCAGAATAAGCAGGAATCAGGGTAAACCTAAAGACTCCACTTAACCTGAGGCCAAGGAGCTCTTGATGTACTAATGTATAATGCATGTTATAACTAGGGGCGAATCCAAACCATCCTATAAAGGAGGGGGGGGGCAATTTTATCTTATATTCACTTAGTGATCCAGACACACGTCAGTCATTTAGTTTGAGGACTTTTTCTTTTTTTTTAAAAAGTAGTCTGTATCTTATAAGGATTCACCAACCCCCTAATTATATTTCTAGAATTGCCTCTGCCTGAACATTGAGTAAGGGGGAGATTTTTAGATAACGAGATTTAAAAATTATAAAATTTCATAAATAACTTCATACCATTTTAAAATAGTCTTCCTATTAGAACTAACTTATTTCCTCTTTTTTCAAATAACATGATGAGTTACATGAAAATTAAATTTAAAAAGATTTTAATCAAAACTCTAAGGAGGGGGAGTTTGCCCCATCCCTCACCCTCTATATATCCTTGGTCATTACCTATATTTTTATTTATTAAAAAAAAAATTATGTTAATGAAGTTTAATTTTGTTGTACGTTATATGTTTATGTTATTCTTGATATATATTTGTTAAAATAAATATAAATCAAGAAAACTAAGTGTATAAAATAAATATAAATGAAGAAAATACGATCTTGACAATCCATGATCACACCTATCTGTGCAATGAAAACCACTACTGGAGACAAAATATTCCCAAATTCCAAAATCTCCCAAATTTGATTACCCTCAGAAAGGACAATATTCCTGTCATTTACAAAAGTGTTCTCCAAAACTCTCATTTCTTTCTAAACTATTTGAAAAAAAAAATGTCAGAAGTGACTGAATCTTGTTTTTCTGCATGCTGGAAAATGTTATCTGTGGTTCAAAATTTAAAAAACAAAATGACCATACTAAGATTAAAACTTTTTTCTGACCAAATTACTGATCAAAATTCTGATCAAAATACTTATGATGGTTGGAAAACATTCTGACCTCTCCAACCATCATAAGTATTTTGCTAACAATTAAGAGAAGACTTATAATAAATAATCAAATCTTGTCGTATGGTGTGTCTGGGAAAGTTTTTGAGATTATCAAATCATTTTCTAACCACTTTATTCAACAAATCTCTTATTCCTCCTTGTACAGAATACTTTTTTCATATTTAGGTTGGTTTTTCTAATAATGCTCTTTTGCTTCTAGAAAAGGTCAAAAAACACATTATAAAAGTAGTAGAACCTGCTTTATCTGCCCTCTCTCCCTTCTTTGTAAGTTGCATCTTTTTCTTTTTTCTACAAATGCTATCATGGTCGCTGCTCAAACGAGCTATCATCTCTAGTTCCATAAACCAAAATTTGTTCTCATTTGACTCATTGTCGGCAAACTCTCACCCTTTTACTGCATCTGTCCCTGCATGCTCTAAAAACTTTTACTTTTCTAGTTTTTATTCCTGCATTTCAAACCTTTGATTTCATGTTTTGCATCTTCATGCTTTCCTGATTAATAAAATCTACAACTTTTTAAGTCTTTCGTCAACCATTTACTTGGTCTTTAACTCTATTCTTTGTTTTCTAAACTCCCAACTTAATAGTGGTTGCTTCCAGCCTCATTGGGAGTAAATTTGAATAAAAGAATAAAAAAAAAAGTTATAGTTTTACAAACTTTATAAAATCTAATGTTTTAACAATTCATAGTATCACAAACTTTATAGATTCTAATAAATTTACAAATCATAGTTCTAAAAACTTTATCAAATTTAATGTATTAACAAGTCATAGTATCACAAACTTTATAGATTCTAATTTATTTACAAGTTATAGTTCTACAAACTTTATCAAATCTAATAGATTAACAAGTCAGAGTATCACAAACTTTATAGATTTCAATAAATTTACAAGTCATAATTCTACTTTATCAAATCTAATGTATTAACAAGTCATAGTATCGCAAACTTTATAGATTCTAACATATTTACAAGTTATAGTTTTGAAACTTTATCAAATTTTATATATTAACAAGTCATAGTATCACAAACTTTATAGATTCTAATAAATTTACAAGCCATAGCTCTACAAACTTTTATAAATCATCAAAAAACAATAAATACATTATTTTCTTTAATGTATGAATAAACGTTACTTCTAAAACATTATTAAAATGTCAAATAAATACCTGGCTCTACAAGCAATTCTAAAATATCAGAAATGTGAACCATAACAAAGGACATTTGCGCATTTTCATCAATAGTCTAAAATCAAGGACCAGATTTAATCAGAGACAAGTTTCAATAATAATGCACAACTCACATTTTTTGTTATTAGCATATATTAAACAAAAATTAATAATAGGCAAAGATGCTTAAAAATATTAAACCATTTTATGTTTTAATGCAACAAGTTGATTATTGAAAATAGTAAAATAGATAACTGATTTGATATAAACAAATATGCATTTGAACTATATTCTCTGAAGTATTTTGATCGCAAAAACTAATAAGAAGCTTGGGCTATTTTATTTAAGCTATTTACCAAATAACTTAACCTTTAAAATAAACACTTAAAACTCAGAGATAAAACTCTTTAAACAATCTTTTAAGAAGCAGTTTGATCTTTTTTTTATGTCTCAAAATGACAGATTATATCTTTTGATTCTGTTTTTAAATGTTTTAAAAACAGAATCAAAAGACATTTCATTAGTAAGCATGCTTAACTAGTTTAGTTGTAAATTTTTATTTAGTTTATTATATGCTGTACACAAGTGTGTTACCCTAACACAAGTAGTGATGTTACCCTTTCAACACACTAACTACTTGTGTACAGCATATTTCCAATAATATAATAAAGATAAAGAAAAAAAAAAAGTTTAAATAAACTTTCATTTTTTATTAATTTTTATGTTGTCATTGCAACCTTGACCTTTTAACTCTGAAACACAAACCTTAAAGACAAAACACAAATAAAACATAAACCTTGGAGACATTGTGACACAAACTTTGGAGACAGTGTGCATTAAATATCAGAAACTACAAAAATATCAGGAACTATATAAAATGTTAGAAATTATATGAAATATCAGAAACTTTTTTTTATATGTACATTTGCCTGCCAAAAGCTCAGGAGGGGCAGCATAGTCAAGGAGGCTACTCATTTATTCATTTTTTAACTGTTATTGCAAACCTCTTGCATCTCAAAAACACAAACCTTGACAAAAAAAATTTAATATTTTAGACAAAAACATGTAGTGGTTGAGTGTTTGAGAAGCAAGACCACTATTGCATGTTATCTACACAATTACAGTTATCTATGCAACTACTATTATCTACACAACTTCTGATTTCTACAAAACTTCTGTTATCTACAAAACTACTATAATCTATACAACAATATTATGTACATAACTACTGTTATCTACATAACTACTGCAATCTTTACAGCTACTGTTATCTATACAACTAATATTATTTACACAGTTACAACTATCTACAGAAAATATAAAAAACTAAATAAAACGTCAGGAACTGTAAAAAACAACAAGAACATTAAAACACAAAAAACCATATAAAATACCAGGAACTGCACAAAACGACAGGAACTAAATACCAGGACCTATAAGTAAATTATATTGAACATGTCACGATTAAATGTTTCTTCTCAGTACTAATAAATGTCTACATTATATACACTATGTATTTAAAATACTTCTTTATGTAATAATAAAAGTATTAAAACCTTAACGTAGCAGATATACTCTTATGTCATACATTCCAATACAGATTCCAATAGCGACATTTAAATACATTTTTCCAATAAATAATATTTGCATATATAGTTTTGACTATTTCTTGTTTTAATAAATGTTTTAGTATGAGAACTGCAAGACATAATGCTACATTTTGTTTTTCAATTCTCAAAGTTTAAAGGGTGCTGGAAATACAGACCAGAAAAATAAGCTTTAAAAATCATTTAAATATAAAACAAAACTTAAGAGCAACTTTCTGTAAAAATCAGCCAAAAACACTAAATTTTTAGAGTGACCTCTTTCAAAACCACTAAGTTTTTAATATGTTGTTAGTATTCATACTAGAAGCTTCCAAATATTTTTAAAAAAATAATAATAATTGGTTCTCTAGATATAAGATGTCAAAGTTTGACTAAACTTTTAGAAATATTGACCAATTGGTGTTGAAGGCATTTTTGAACTCAAAAAAAAAGCGAAGTAAATACTTTACAAGTATTTCACTTGATTATTGTTTATTGGCTAGTTCCGACCAAAAATTAATTTTTAAAAATTAATTAAATAAAATCAAAGCCACAATTACCCCATAATTTTTTTTTTTTTGTTGTTATAAATCTTTATCTAGTTAAGTACCTAAAAGTATAAAAACATGGGGAAGCAAAGGGTTAGCCGCAAAATCGAACTCAAAAACAAAATTTTAATATTTTTATGCATCGATTGTGACATGATAATGGTTAAAGCCCTGGGTTCGATGTAAAATTAAATTTAAAAAAACTTGTATTGACCTATATCTACCTTATTTATAAAAAATACTTATGGGGTATTGCAATATTTTATGTTACTTTAAAAAAAAAACATATAAACAGTATAGATATTTTCTTGGTGCTTCTATATTTAATTATAAGCGCTTAAATTGAGTATGCTTCCTTGTTACTTTATTTTATATTATATTTTAAGGTCTTAAAGAGCTATGAGCTGGTGATTGGAACAAAAAATCTCTAATTGAAAATCGTTTAAACAGAAATTTTAACAATACAGAGAAAATAAGTATATCATCGCTACACATTAGGAATAGGATGGAAACAAGGAAAAAAATCTATGCACCCTAATCACTAAGTACAAACAGGGAAGAAAACATTGTTAGAGCGACCAGCACCAATATCTATGACACTTCAAATATCTTCCCATTATATTTCATACATTCCAATTGGTTCAATTATATGCAATTGTTTTTGAAAAGAATACTATATCAAGTCAAGGAAAAAAGAAACAAAAATAATAACTGAACACGAATCTACATTAACAACTACTGATATTGATTTTATACCAGATGAGTCTTTACAAAATCAAGAAGAACTTCAAATAAAATCAGAGAAAAAATCACAACTTGTCTTGGAACCAAAAGTCCAATTAAATTCTAGTTTAAAAGAAAACTTGAGCTTATCAATGGATTCATTGATAAGCTCAATTTAATTGGACTTTTGGTTCCAAGACAAGTTGTGATTTTTTCTCTGATTTTATTTGAAGTTCTTCTTGATTTTGTAAAGACTCATCTGGTATAAAATCAATATCAGTAGTTGTTAATGTAGATTCGTGTTCAGTTATTATTTTTGTTTCTTTTTTCCTTGACTTGATATAGTATTCTTTTCAAAAACAATTGCATATAATTGAACCAATTGGAATGTATGAAATATAATGGGAAGATATTTGAATTGTCATAGATATTGGTGTTGGTCGCTCTAACAATGAAACAAAGCAACAAATACGAAAGAAATATAAACATATGGAACAAACCTTCAGCAAAAATCGTCAATTGGAAGAGTTTTAAAAAGTGCTTGAAGGTGATGAAAATGAAATATGAAAACAGAAATTCCAGTTTGGAAGAGTTTTTAAAATTCCAAATCGGAAGAGTTCTTAAAACTGCTTGATGGTGATGAAAATGAAAATGAAAACAGAAACTTCAAATGAAATTGAAAAACTTGTAGAAATGTATAAAAACAGTGGTGCAACAAGTTAACTTGAAATTTTGGCATTTATTGATCATAATAAATACACTAAGTAATTTTTATGCAACACAATTAAGTGCACAAAATACAAAATAGGTCTTGCCAGAAAATGGAAAGCCTCACAAAAAGGTTTTGTACTACCCAAAAGAATTTATTTACAAGTAGACTTTCGATTCCAAAATGTGAACATTTTTTAGATTTCATCTTTTTAAGTAGACTGTTACAAGACATTTCTTATGGTATTTCCAAAATAAAGTAGTTGAAACTGTAGCTAGTGCCATTTCAACAGCAAAAAACATGCCTCGCTGGTTTAAATGACACCGCTGCTGCTGGGATGAACAAATTTGCAACACTTAATAACAATAATTAATTCGTAAAATGTTAAATTAAACATCAACTGTTGAGAAATTTGGAAAATCAAAAATAATTCGTAAATATGTTAAATAAAACATCAACTGTTGAGAAACTTGAAAAATCAAAAAGGTATTTAAAAACTAAATATAAACTTCATTGCAGCTATTTAAAAAATGAAATTGCAACACATTCAACTCTATTTTCCTTTTTTTGATCCTGAAAACATTAAAATGCAATCATGTATGTTTTAAATGATTCTGTATGCTATGAATGCCATGAGCTATTTGAAGTTATAGATGTCAACCAAATAGGAAATGAAAATGATGTTGGTGATGATGTATTATATGACATTAAAGTATCAATAGGCAACATCACAGAGTATATGAAACACCTCTTAAGAGGTACACATCAGAAAAAGACAAAGAATGTTGTATATCAACAACTAGATGACAAAACAGTATTTTGGTTGAAAGACTATTCACAAAAGATATTACCCATAAAGTTTAGAGAGCGTCAGAAGGACTACTTTGGGAAGAAGGGCATAAGTGCTTTTTGAGAACGTCATTTGTTTTGGTAAAAAAAACTCATTTATATATGAATATAGTTGAGTTTTTTTACCAAAACAAATGACGTTCTCAAAAAGCATGTTTACCTAACAATTTTATATCGCTGCAATAAAGATATTTTCTCTGTTATCTCTATTGCTGAATCAGTTCTAAATTAGTTTCACCTAGATAAACTATACTCAAAAAATATGATAGAGTAACAAGGAAACATATTGAATTCAAGCGCTTATAAATAAATATAGAAGCATCAAGAAAATATCTATACTATTTATATGTTATTTTTTCTGAACTATTGCAATAACCTATAAGTATTTTTTATAATTAAGGTAGATTAAAGGTTAATACAAGTTTTTTTAAATTGAATTTTACAGTGAACTAGGTTTAACCATTATTATGTCACAATTAATGCGTAAAAAACTTCTTTTAAATTGAATTTTACAGTGAACTAGCTTTAACCATTATTATGTCACAATTAATGCGTAAAAAACTTCTAGTAAGAATAGCAACAACATATTAAAAATTAGCAATTTTGAAGAGGGTCACTATTGAGCTCTTTCTGATTCTTACAGAAAGTCACTCCTAATAATTATAATTAAACTTATATTTAATAAAATATACATTATTAAAAATTTTCTAGATCATAATTAACCAACTTATATTTAATATAATATACATTATTGAAAATTGTTTAGATCATAAGTTACTTTGTTTTATTTTTATTTCATTGTTGTAGGCTAACCCTATACATTTCTAAAAATATGGATATATTGATAATTTGTTAAAAAATAAATTCTTGTTAATAATGACTAAATGCTATATCCAGCCCACCCAACATGATGACTCAAGTCAGATCTGTGAACTATTCTATATAAGCTTTATTCAACAAACTTTATTCTTTTCACCTCATTTTGGTATCAAATAATGTTGTTTTTTTAAAAAATACTATTTATTGGAGCCTTGGATCAAAAAATCCAAATCCAAAATAGTAACCTTAAAAGTGTGGACTTTTGATCTTTTGATCTTTTGTGTGGATTAATCTAGATCAAAATCTATTTCAAAAAAAAATATATATATATATATATATATCTACATACTTATTGTGTTGTTATGTTAGGTGCTCCAAGATGATCAAATAGTTGCATCACAGAGCACCATAGAATAGCATTTAACTAGGGAGTTCACACCCGCTTTATGTCGCAAAAACAGTGAGATCATTGAACCACAGATCTCTTGATTCTGAATCAAACATTGTAACAACTACTTATACAATATCTCAAATATCTCAAGAAAATATTCAGCAAAATATTTTTAAAATATATTTTCAAAGTTTAGAGTTAGGTATCGGATCAAAATTTAAAATGTTAAAAATTAACCAGGTGTCTGGTAAATTATACAACTCAAGACCTTGTGGCTGGTCTTTATCAACAAAAACTGCATTCAGAAAATTTCAGCTTTTATTCTATCCATTTTTGCATTATTTTAGACCTTCCTTTTGGTTAAATAAAGAACTTCTACTATTTCTCTGTAAGAAGATGCTACGGCTAATGGATCCAAACACCTTGTATAGTTTTACCATAATTTTAATACCATTTTTGCAGCAGGCTCATATTCAGTATAATGGCGCATCTGCCTATAGTCTTGTTGATCTTAAAAGTGTAAATTAAAAATAATGCTATGTTGGTAAAATAAGGTTTAAAATGATACTGCTAAAAAATTATTACATTTAAATTTGACATCTAAATGTCAAATTTAAATGTAATAATTTTATTAATTAAAATTGTATCATACTATATCTGAGATAAACTCAAAATGCTATTTCTATTCATTTCATTTTTATTTCTACTGATGTTAAGAAAAGTCAATCAATAGAGGAAAAAAAATTGGTTTAGAGTTATTTTTTTTGTTTTTTACATCTGACTTTGAACTATTTTGCAAGCCATTGTTTTTAAATATTTTGTTACTTTATGACATGTTTTTAAACAATTTGTAACTTCTATGACATATATTACTTTTAAATAAAACTATAAAAACTTATGAAACTATTACTTTAAAAACTGCAGAATCAGAAAACTCGCAGGTCAAACAATACTGGGTATCGTTTGACCTGCGAGCTTTGAGAGAAAAATGTAGTCATCCATTTTATTTTAAAAACATGCAGTTATGGCGGCTGTATTGCAACTTTAAGATACCATGCAACTTCTTTGTTAATATTGTTATAAAGAAAGTGTTTGTCTTATTGATGTCAATTATTTTACAATTATCTGCCAGCACCTTTGTTTTTGAGTAAATTTGCATATATACCAGATTGTTTCTGATTAATATTAAAGGGTGTGTAATTAGAACCTAGGCAACATTTATTTTTTAAATAATATAGATATAGAGTTAATTTGCATTTTTTATTTTTATTCAAAGTTTATTATATGGATTATTGTAACTTTTATTTTTCATTTAAAGTTTAACATTATATTTTGATCTGGTTGTTATTAGTAACCTCAATCTTAGGCTTGTTGTTGGTGTTTTTAGAGCATTAACATTTTGCTTAACAAAACCTTAAAGGAAATAATCTTAAAGGGTTACATCACAAGGTCTTGGTGGCCAATGAACATCACAATTACATGAAACAATTCAATTTCAATAAAGCCATTGTTTTTCGAGCTGTGTAGCATAGTGCCACCACCATCCTACTATAAAAATTGATTTCTAGGTCCATATCAAGGAAAATAGGTCATAAAAAGATTTCCAACATATGTCCATAGTGATAAATAGTGAAGTATTTGTCTTAAAAGCAGGTACTGAATAGGTAAATTCAAACTTTCAAATTCTGTTTCAGAATTCTTTTCAGTTTGTGTTTGACAAAAAGAAACATTGTTATACAGAAGAGATACAACAAAAGTTATACTGAAATGTGACATTTTATCCTCTGTTAAGATATCACAACATTTAAAAAAGTTTGTAATGTAAGGATTCTGTCATCAAAGCAAAAATAGTAGTATTTAATTTCAATACAAAAATTTAATTTAAATTTGTTATAATTCAAATTCTCAAAATTTTAAAGAAAAAAAGTGTGAAAAGTGAATGTTACTTTATGAAGTGAAATTTTAAAGAAATGTTAATTTATGAAGTGAAATTTTAAAGAAATGTTACTTTATGCAGTGAAACATAAAGATGATAGGACAAAATTTAAAACAAATTATTTTAAATTTTTTAGTTAAAATATAGAAAAGAGATACCTTTACACCAATGGCAGCTCTGCCCTCTAATTCTTGGACTCGATTTCGATATGGGTACTCATCCCCGGTGACAATTGCAGACTTCATTGAAATGACATTAGAATGTTGAATATATAAGTACAATATAAATTTCAATAAATCAACACTACGCTTCTCTTTACAAAGATCTAAAAAAAAAAATATATATATATATATATATATATATATATATATATATATATATATATATATATATATATATATATATATATATATATATATATATATATATATATATATATATATATGTATATATGTATATATGTATATATATATATATATATATATATATATATACATATTTCTTAAAACTTAGCAAGTTTAAAAACTAATAAATTACTTTGTCAAAAAAAAAATACATTTAAAAAAAATACTTTTTTGTCAAAACATAGCTCTAGTAGTAACTGATTCACCATATGAAAGTAGTTGCCACAACTCTTAAGATGCCTCCATAATTACAAAGTTTCATGGTGACCCATGTATCATGGTGACCTACTTTCTCCTACATTTCTTTTTTATAGGAATTGGAGACAAACCATTACCTACTAGACACCAGTGATGATTATCATTATGATTATTACAAATCATTATCTACTAGACACCAGTGATGATTCATATGTGTCAAGCAGCTTTTCACTGAGAAGGATTAACTATTTCACTGAGAAGGATTAACCATTCATTGACTTAATCTTTCTTAGAGCAATTATATTTTTTCAGTTTTGCTAGCTTTGTTTGAACTGATCTTTTTAAATTTTTTTTAAAACATACATTAATAAAAAAATAAAAAAAGGAAAGGGGGGGGGGGAAGGATTGTATAAGTGCAAATTTTATAAGTGCAAACTAGCATAAGTGCAAAGCAGTTGATAAAACTGACATAAGTGTGAACTGGCATAAGTGCAAATCAGTTGTAATAACTGACATAAGTGCGCTAAAAGAATTTGCAAACATTGTCTTAAATGCAAATTGGCATAAGTGTTATCTTTCATAAGCGTAAAGCAGTAGCAAAAACTGGCAAAAGTGGAACCAGGAAACTGACATAAGTGTGCTGAAAGAATTTTGTATTTTATCTCATAAATTAGGCTCCCAAGACTTATGGAGAATCTTTAATAAGTCTATAATAAGGGTAAATCTGTTATTCCGCCTCTCTTGCGTGGTTTAGATTATTTTACCTTAACAACTAAACTTCTTTTATAACTAAATCACAAAAATTTGCTTTTACAACTAAATCACTAATAAAAAATAATTACTAATAAAAACTTTTAATAAATAAAGTAAATACGTAACTTTCTTATTTGTTACTGTCCAATTTTTTTAAAATAAAAAATAATTTTTAGTTGCAAAGCCGCAATTAAAAATTTAAGAAATGATGTTTTTAAAAAACTTAACATATTTTAATTCATTTATACAAATGTCAAGAAAAGAAATAAAATTATTTATATATAGCGCTTCTTGTGCCATCTACTAAAATTCATTCTCCTGTTACTCATCATTCAATTAAGTCTCATCCTTTTACTGTGTCTGTGACTGTGGCTGTGACTGTCATCTGGTTTTTTTCCTCAAACATTAGTTCTTTGGAATTTGCTTCCTTTATCTTGCATATAATCTGCATTCTTTTAAGTTGTCTGTCAATCTTGCTCTATAAACTTCACTTTTTCTCTTCCAGTATCTTCCAACTCTATTAGTGGTTGCTTGCAGCCTTGTTGGAAGGAAAGATGTTGAAAAAAAAATCACAATCTACCTGATATTCCTGACAAACAGGTAATTGCTTGACATTCATTTTGCAGTTTTTAGGGACATTTGACTATACTTAGGAAAAATCTCTTATGGGCATGGGAAAATAAAACATGGTCATGATATATGTTTTTAGCTTAGTTTTTGAAGCTCAATCATTAAAAAATACTTATGAGGGCATACCATAACTTTAGGACACCAAAATAACAAACTGTAAAACACCCTATAAAACTTTTAGAGTGTTTAACTTTTTTTCAGATACATGGTCAAAGTTCATGTTTTTAGGGTAACATTTTAAGCTTTATTCATTAAAAATACTCTCATTCTCATCACCATGAATGCACTATAACTCTAGGACACTGAAAGGGCACTTTGGAGCATGCAACTAAAAATATTTCAAAGTTTGTATATAAAGTCATATTACATGTTTTTACGTCAATTAGATAAGACTGATCCGTTAAAAATATTCATAAGATCATAAAATATATTAAGGACACAAAAAAAAAAACACTGAAAAAAACAAAAAAAAGACACTAAAAAGGAAAGTTGTTAACTTTTTTTAAATAATAACACAGTCACAATATGTTTTTGAAAAAAAATTTTACGCGTCATGAATTAAAAGTCTTTTAATAACTGTAGGACACCAAAAAAGTGCCCTACAGTTATTAAAACACAATAAAGTATTTTAGGATAATTAGGTAATTTTTCATGTTTTCAAGCCGAATTGTCAAGCTTCATCCACTAATTTTTTTTTCTAAATCCTACAATAACTAATAAATACTCAGACACTATAAATTATAGTGAAATGTAAACAATATAAATTATAGTATATGTTCTAGCATTTATTAGTTATTGTATGATTTCATAAAAAGATACAATAGTGAAAGTTTGACTTTAAAGTTTTTACATAAAATGAAATTTTATGTCAAACTATTAATTTTTATATTTATATTTCAGAAACCGCATTGATTTTTGCTTTAGCTGTGAACTATAATAACCACAAAATGTGTTTAATTTGGTCATGATTTTGGCTGGCTTCGAAAGTATAAAAATAAAACAAGAAAAAAATAATAATAAAGTAATAAGACGGATATACTGTTTCCACTTTCTTCTCTTTATTACCTGCTTTAACACTGAACATCTGTTCAGAAACTGTTACACTAACACTTTTTTTTAATATAATCAATCATTCTTTTCTCTTAGGCATTTATGGCTAGACATGTTCTACTAGTGACTAGACTTACTTGTTTGAGTTGCGAACCTTATAGATAATTCAAATGAGGTAAGAGTCAAAGGAAAATATCCAATCTTTTTCTTTATTTAACAAAGACATACACTGTATAAAGGGAAATGGAATTATTGTTGAGCATAATGAAAATCAATACCATGTCAAAATAAACATTGTCATTCATAGTTTGGACAGAAAGGCTTCAAATATTTATTAAGGTCTTGGAGTTTCATATTGTGATCTTTTTGACCTTTCAAAAGAACAATGTGAAAATATACAAACAGTTCAAGATGGTTTTATCATAAAGTCCATGCAAAAAATATTTCTTGACATAGTAAAGGAGAACTGAACCATTTTGAAAAAAAAAGGATCACAACATTCAACACGGTCAAATTAAAAGTCCGATTGCATGTTCAAATGTTACTTGAATGGACCATGTATAGGGCCATTCAAGTTTTACATGGTTTGCACAGGAACTTTGATCATTTTATGAAGGTAGTTGTCCACGTGGCGGCAGGTGTCTTAACTTGGAAAGAATCTAAGAAACAAAAACACAACATTGCTGAAAGAAGAAAACTACAAGAAATTATCTAAGTTAAAACAGGAATAAAATAGGATTTTGTAGAATCCACTGAACTATGGGGGAATACAACAACTGGAAATTTTGCCAGAAGACTTTTACATAATAATATACTGCAAAAGGTAATTACAGATCACATATCAAATCAAACAGACCACAAACTAGTTTAAAAATATGGCTTGCGTCTTTCCACAATTCTGAGAGAAATGCCTTTTGGAAAAAAAATAATATTGAGCTATACAATAAATCCATCAGGAGCTAAACATCTTGTCTCTACATAAATTTTATTAGATAAGTATAACTCCAAAGCTGCAAAAAAATTCTTGCTCATAGCTGGGAGGTGATAGAAATAAATGATTCCACTCGTTTGAAATCTTGAATTGAAGAAGGAATAATAAGCCTCTCAGATACTTAAAAATCTAGAAAAATTAATCAATTAGTTAATATAGAAAATTGCTTCAAAAGGCTTTGGCTGGGATCTGACCCATTAGTTGCAAAAGAATGGAGCAAAGGGACAGCTATTTTACAAAAACTGTCTAGGAAAAGGGCATTCTCAACTCTCATGTATGCGTAGAAGTGCAACAGCTGATGATATTTTAAACAATCTTTTAGTTTGTAAATAATTGTAACATGTGTATTTGTAAATTTTTGTAACACATGTGTATTTGTTAATTTTTTAAAACCTAGTTCTTAGACTTTAACCTCAAGATGGCAATTTTAAAACTCGTTTTTTTATAAACCGCTAATGGGGCTAACTTAAGCATTGCAACTTTTATTTTGTAGTTTAGAAATCATATTAGGTTTAGTATGGCGTCATTAGCGGTGTTTGAGATAATGACTAAAATATTCAAAAATTACAGCAAAATTATGTGCAAAAATACAGTTTTTGCATCTCTTTTATGAAAACTTTTTTCAATACAATTTAGCCAGAAATATGTATTTTTACCCCTTATTGTTAAGTAAGATTTTTTCAAGTTTTAGATCAATAATTTTTTCTGAGCATCAAAGAGAGGTGCATTTGGGCTTGAAAAGGATCTCACTTCTGCTACAGTATGGAGCTTTTAGTGGCTTGTTTTCTTTAACTCAAATAAAACTCAATTTTTTTAGCTAATCATTATCGCAATAACACACATCGTCCAATATTTATGAACTAAAATGTACTTGATGAGTCATCTACCCTTTGTCTTTTAGGATTAACTTTTACTTCCGATCTTTCATATATCAAATCCATTGCAAAATTAGCATCTGCTAAGGTTGCATTTTTTATTGTGCTTACCACTTTCTTACCCTAGAGTCTATCATCTACCTCTATCAATTTCTAATCCGTCCTTGTATGGAATAATATTGCCATATTTGGAACGGATCTTCAAACAATACCTTTTCTTTTTTAGACAAGCTGCAATAACCCATAGTAAGCATAGTTGGATGTGCTCCTGCAGCCAACCTTCAATCATTGCCACATCATCATAATGTCGTTTCTCTTTCTTTTTTCTATAATTACTATAATGAGTGCTGCTCTAATGAGCTAGTATCTCTTGCGCCATCTATTAAAATCATGTCTCATGTTACTCATTCAATTAAGTCTCATCCTTTTAATATGACTGTTTCTTAATGCTCTAAAAATTCCTTTTCGTCTAGTTTTTTCCTCGAAAATCAGTTATTTTGAACTTGCTTCCTTCTTCTTGTTTTCCTGATTCATATAATTTGCGATCCTTCAAGTGGTCTGTTGTTACCTTGTTTTATATACTTTATCTTAACTCTTCCAGTAACTTGCACCTATATTAGTGATTGCTTGCAAAACATTATCCTAACAGAACTTGTTTAATTTTTCTTACTATTTGCTGGAACCAGTGTACCACATAGTGAATGGCAATTTTTGTAAGTATACGTAATTTATGAGAAATTGGCAATTATTTGCTATCATCAAATAATGAAAATGTTTTCTATCATACTTACCACCTATAGATTTTAAGTATCCAATATGCCAATATTGGATACTTAAAATCTATAGGTGGTATATATATATATATATATATATATATATATATATATATATATATATATACAGCGCTCGAAATAATTATTTGAAGGTTGCCGATCAACACTGATCGGCAGAAATAATAAAAGTAATAAAGTAGACGATCAAAAAATTATCCAGACAATCAAATTTTTCTTAACTTTTTCTTTAATAGCATACAGTTTAGGTGACGTCAAATTGTTTGTTTTACCGCTATCAACCTACAATAAATTGCGTTTTTAGAAAATTCTATTGATTTTGTGCAATTTTCTAAAATATCTTTACCTTAATGCCTTTTAGTACTAAAAAAATCTATTTTTAGAACACTAGCTGAACGCTATTGGTTTTTGAATACAACAGCGTACGTCCGCGTTATCGTTTATAGTTTTTACTTTTAAACTTAGCTCTTAATTCACTTTTTTACTTCAACGCGTTGCCTTTTAAGTGACGTAAAATATTTTTTGTGACTCGAACAATTGTTTTTTATATAATGATCGTTTTTTAACAAAAATGACACAATAAAAAGGTAATGAACTTTTTAACCAATATTTGATTATTAAAACTTTTTTAAACTAAAAAAAGGTGAGAAAAAATAATCTCGTTTTGCGCTATTCATTACTTGATTCGTTAGATGATGAATCCAAGTCGATTAATGTTTTTAATCCTGCTTTTTTTGCTCTTTTGGAATAGCATTTTCTTACTGATTGTTTTGGCCTTCGCACGGCATCATTGGTCCATAACTCAATAGCAGAACTTAAATCAAATAAATTGGAATCTTTTTCATCGAAACTTACTCGAATTAAATTTTCTAAACGTTTTCTCTTTCAGAGAGTTTCTTGTATCCGTTTTTACTCTATTCATTAGTGAAAAAAGGCGTTCAACTTTCGCATTAGAAACAGGCAAAGTAAATAATAGTTCGACAATAAGTAAAACCGGAACCCATTCATTTTTCATTGAGCTAGAAAAAATTTGATGCCATAACTTACGATAACCGGTATTATGTGGTGCTAAATATTTTACAGTGTAGTTTACCAAGCTATGCCAAGCATCCAAAACATCATTTACAGTTCCTGCAAAACCAGCATGTCGCAACGGCGCTCTATAAAAGTCAAAAAGATTTTCTATTCCTTCATCCAGGAATGTTTCATTTTCAATACTTTGAAGCCAACCTTCTGTATTTAAAACTTTTGTACCATACATATCAGTAATAGTATCGCTTGTTTCCAAACGCTCTATGATTGAATTTGTCACCAACTCGATATGAATAGATTTAGACTTTTTTACTAAATGTTTAGCATTTACAAAGTCGTTAAGTGCAACACCCTGGAAATAAAACTTTCCTTCTTTTTCAGTCACTTTGGCGAGAAAACGTTTTACTGTTGGCAAATTAATAAACTTTGTTTTTTGAATACAATTTAAATGGCTTTTAGCTTGTTGAACAAACCCTGATGAAGCCAACACATCTATCTCATCACTTTGAAAACATTTTGACAACATCTTTGCTGGTGCTAAAATCTCAATAAACAACGCGATATAAAGGGGCATTCTAGCATGAATCCACTTTTTGTGGTATCCTTTAAACTTAGCTCTTTCAGCATTGGTAAATGTTATATCTTCAGTCATATTTTCCAGATGTGTTAAATAAACACCTTATTCATCTAAAATCATTTCTAAAGCCTGAACTTTATGTGAAATCCATCGTGTACCTAAAAATGAAACAAGATTATACAATTTATAATTTACTTTATACTTGCAAAAACTAAAAATATAGGCGTCACGCATAACTGTAATGGTAATAAATATAAGATAAATAAATCAAGCAAAAAAAAGAAAATACCGGAGGCTTTCTTAGGTCGGTAACCACCAATGTTATATTCATCATCTTCTAAAATAGAAACGAGTTCACCCAACTGTCTTAACTTTTTGGGGGATTTTTTGTAAATGTAATGTATTTTTAAAATCATGTAATCAACGTCATTGAATGAGGCTGTTTTTCCTAATTTTTCTTTTAATGATAACTCGAGACGATGTGCTACACACCAGCCAAACGTGATACAGGGGAGTTCAGCCTTGAGCAACATTTTAACGCCCGACTTGCTCCCTCTGTTAACGGATGCGCCATCCGCACCAAATCCAACTAGTTTTTTATTGCAATTTACGACTTCTATATTCTCGAGTGACTTTTTTATGGTGTTGAAAACTCCGTGCGAAATTCCATACTCAACATCCAAAAGTGAAAGAAAATCACATTCAACGTTTACTTCAGATTTTCCAGTTGGAGCCGGATTAAAAGTAACGGCAAATATAGCTTCTTTTTCCTTAATTGAAACGTCGTTAGAACTGTCAATTAAAATAGTGAAAAAATTTCGAGTATTTAGTTTATTTTTGAGATCTACCGCTAAACTAAGAGCAATGTAGTCAATAAATACTCTGCATGTGTTTTCGTTTTTATAAGCCTGACCAAAAACTACACCATGTTTCTCTTCTAATTGAATTATTTTTGGGTATAGGCAAAGCGATAGTTCTTCTTTTGCTATAAAGTAAGCGACCTCAAATTTTTTTTTGTCAAATCCAAGTCTTTACTATTCATGGTTTGAATACCGGATAAAATGTCTGTTTGCCGCATTTCCTACTGCAACTCGATTAGTTTTTCAATTCGATCGCACAAATTCATGCCTCTCGTTTTCATAAAAATCTTAAAAGCCTTCTGATGAGACATTCCCTCTGCATGCGTGATTGCAGAACTATGTTGCAATCGACTACATCCTTTTCCACAGCTCCATTCCGGAGTGTAGCCTTTTAAAATCTGAATTTGTGATGCATATTCTCGACATACTTTGCATTTTAGCGCTGTAACTATTCCGTCAACGCTTTCAATTTCAAGCCAATCATTAGCATTATATTTTGCAAGCGTAGAGACTTTCCATTTATTAGCTGTTTGTAATTGTAGCTTTCTGTCATAAGTTTTTAGTTTTTTCTCAGCGGGTGTTCCAGATACTAAGTTTCTTTTAAAAGAAATAAATGTTTGACGCTTTTTGTATGCTTCCATTTTAAGATTATTTTTAAACTTACCATTTAATTTCTAAAACTTTAAAACAAAAACTGTTTCTTTCAATTTAAATTGTCACGATGATTTCAAAATGAAGTTTTCCAACGAATCACAAACTTGCTTTGTTCATTATTTTTCAGACAATCAAAGAAATGTTAACCTTTCTAGTTATTAATTCATTTTATTCAAATGAATTCGCTTTATTAAAATAATTCTTTTACAGTTAATAAACTTTCGAACTGAAGACTGTTACGAAATCAACGCTATGTTTATTCCACCAATCAAAAGCATTATTAAGTTATTTACAATAAACTTTGCGCTTCTTTTTAATTACCATTTTTAATGTGAACTAAAAGATTATTATTGGTCTAAAAACTTGTTTAATTCAGCAATAATGAACATATTTTTTTTAATGCTAATTTAATAAATTTAAGATTCTTTTTTAAATGTTAAAAAATTTTTTATTCTAATGTGTGACAATGTAGACGATCAAATTTGATCGGCCATAATTAATTTTGGGAGTTCAAAATTTCATTTTTTCCAAAAGTCGACGATCATTGATCGTTGATCGGCCGTTATTTCGAGCGCTGTATATATATATATATATATATATATATATATATATATATATATATATATATATATATATATATATATATATATATATATATGTATGTTGGGTATTGTAGCAAGATAAACAAGTTTCCTAAAAATATTGGTTTAAACTTTTATTTTTACATTACAGGTACGTTAATTTATAATTATTAGCTTTTTCTTATCATTTTTACCTTTTTGAAAATGTAGGATAAATGTTTTTTTCTAGGAAATTTTTACCAAAAGTTGTTATTTATTTTATTCAAAAATATAAACTGAATCTAATGTGAGCAACAATAAGATGAAACTCAAAGTATGTTACAAAATATAAAAGTTTCCCCAAGGACTGCTTTAAGGAGATAATTTTGGCTGATAAGTAGTTTTTAATTTCGGCAGTGCCAAATTTGCCGACCTGTGCTTTCACTGAAACCAAAATGGAAATAAGCGTTTGAAATATTATGTCTAGAAGAAGTTGATTTTAGTCATTCAGATAGTTATAAAATAATAACAAGTTGATAAAAAAGTGAATTCATTAGTATCTCTGTGAAACTTAATAAAATAATAGTTCCCCACAATATAAATTAAATTTATATCATATATTAAAATGTATATTATAAATTAATAATTTATTTTATACAATACTAAATGTGAAATAAAAGGTTGACACATTTTTTATGGTAAAACTTTAGATTTTAATTTTAAGATTACTCTGATAAAATAAATCTGATAATCATTTTTTTTAAATTAGTTTTTCAAATTTTTTTTAATTTGTATTTCGCCAATGTAATTGGCATATTAAAAAAATGTCAAACATAAAAAAAAACATAACTAACCTTTGTGGTCATTCTTGATATTTGATTCATTCCCATGAGATCCAATAAGAACAGAACATGTATGGAAGTATCTAATTTAAAAAAATATCTAGAAAAGTTGGTTCAACATTTTCATCAAAGGTAAGGAGGGATGTCCTATTATTTTTTTGCAACTCCAGTATCTTGAGGTAAAAAATAATGGAGTTCTTTGATACTGAACTAATAAAAAAAAAAAAGACCTTATAAATTACTTACTGCTATTTTTATGGACAAAAAAAACAACCTGGTTTTAATATTTTATAAGCTTTTTATTTTGATGAATAATTTTTATATGATATTTGAATTAAACATATTTATTATTCAGTCAATTTTCATACTATACTAGTAAATTTAGAGGCATCTGTGGCACCCATTTTTAGCAATTAATTACATAAATAAATTTTTATTTATTTTGAGAAGTGAATTGAAACTGATTAAGCTAAAGATATATATATATATATATATATATATATATATATATATATATATATATATATATATATATATATATATATATATATATATATATATATATATATATATATATATATATATATATATATATATATATATATATATATATATATTACACTTAATATATAATAAATATTAAATTCACAGCTCTGTTGCACTCATTTTTAGCAAAATGCTTCAAAAACCAATTTGAAATGTTTATGACATTAAAGACTGCCCTAAAGAAATTACAAAAATGTTTTTTGTCTATTGCAATAAATTGAATTAAAATTTGATTTTTCTTTAAAAAGTATACTTTCACAGTAAAGACATTTTCTCTCATATATTAAGAATTATATTTTTTTAAATAAAAATTCACTTCAAACAAGTCTTCCAGCTAATAATAATTTTTAATTAAATTAAGCTAATAACTAATTTTTAATTAAATATAACTAATTGTTATTAAGTAGTTGCACAGAAGCAGCTACTATGTCAGCTGCATTTAATGCACCTAGCTGCATTAAATCTCACATAGCACAATGGTAATGTCATTAAGAGGCCATGGCATTTTTTATTTTTTTTATAATAAAGAATCAGGAATGAATGAGAAGTCAAAACTGACAGGGTCTAGTAGCAAATTTGACTTAGACTTTGATGGGTTTAGAGGGTTGACCCACTAACTACTATGTGTAACAATTAAATTTTTTTTTTAATTCATTTTATGCGATGTAATTGAATGAAAACTTTTAAGTAAATTCTGCATTAATTAAAACACCTAAGTTATTAGATATATACTTTTGATTATTTTTTTTAGTAATATATTTAAATAAGTTTTTATAGATTACATGACCAATAAATAAACAAAAACAAAACTGATAAATTATACAAAAATGTATTGTGGTTTGTAAAATATAAACATTAAGTAAAAAAAAAAGCATTCCATAGCAAATAAGTTGATATCAAAACTGAGAAAAAGAGAAAAAAAGCTTTCACTTAATTAAAGTTAAAGTTAATAGCAAACAATATCTTAAAAGGCTATATTTATAGCTGCTAAAGCATGAACTAATTAAAAAAACAATCAGCTCATCTTCAGTAAAAAATTTACTGTTTGCACCAGTAGAAAAAAAATACTTGTCAATTTTATTATTAAACACATTAACTTACAAAGTTATTTTGTATGCTATTGGCAAGTTATTCAAATCATCGAAGATACAATTTGAATAAAAATTATAGCAAGCATTTATATGTAAATTCACTCATTAGGTTGGATGGTGATCTGCAAATTGTTGGAATATGTCAATTGATCCCAACCTTGATGAATTCTTTCTAAATAAGGACACTATAATCAATCGTGACATTATCAAATGCTTTTGAAAAGTCTAAAAATGCAATATCGAATAAATTTCTTTTAGCTAATGCTTTTGTAATGCAGTTGATACTTTCCAATAAATTAGATGCATCCTTTTTTGGACATTAATCTGTGTTGATTATGTGAGATGCAGCCCATTTCTTCAAGATATATAAACATATGTTCTCTGATAATCTTTTCCATTACTTTACATGGAACTGACGTGATAGACACTCGTCTTTAGTTTGCCACATCAAGATGACTACCTTTTTTTAAACAACAGTGTGGAGTGTGACTGCTCTCAGGCTGTAAGTATTAAGCCTTTAGACAAGGCTTTATTGAAAAGTCATTTGAGTGGCGCATTCTTTGAGTACCTTTGGACTAATGTTATCAACACCAATAGATTTATTTGGGTTCAAATCTTTTAAATAAGTCTTCTTGATCAAAAAAAGCCTTTTCAAAGCAATACTCAAAGCAATTGCTCACAAGCAATTGCTTTGAGTAAAAGTAAAAAATTTCAAAGTTTTCTTATATTATACACGATCAATCCATACGGATATCTTAAAACCTGCAATGTGGACTTATGCTAAAGATGTTTACACTTGCAGACATAGTGATTTGTATGCAAGGCTATACAAATAAAACTTTTTACATTTGCATAATTTTAAATGACATTTTGTTATAAAGTATATATTTCAATATCTTTAAATAAATTTACTACATTTCCTTGGAGTAATGTATGCAATAATTCTCATGGAGTTATTGTATGCAATAATTCTGATTGTAAAATTGTATTATAATAATTGTAAATACATTTTAATTGTATGCAATAATAGTTGTACATATATTTAATTATATATAATAATGACTGTAGTGGTGGTAGTTCTGTTTTATTAACATAGTGGTGGTAGTTCTGTTTCATTACTATATAATTTCTGTAGCATTTCTATTTTCACTTGAATCATGTGAATTACAAAAGATCATAAGAAAAGATAAAAAACTAAAAACCTAACCTTACAGAAATTGCTAATAAAAACATTTCTTATATTAGGAAATAAATTACATATAAGGTATAAATTAAATATGCAGATAAAACACTTAATACATTTAAACAACACAAGCCAGTTAACTTTAACTCTAACAAAAAATATACACATTTTCACTCATTTTTGAAAAATTGTACTTAAAAAGAAGTCTTTTTTAAGATTTCCTAAACAATGACACTTTCGAGCAATGACTTGTTCAAACAATTTAAAATCAATCAAAAAATACTTACATCCAAGCTAGATTTTCATCTATAGACAGTTTATTGCAAGCAACATGGTGCCATACTGGAAATCTGAATAAATATTTTTTTGAGAACTTTAAAAAATAACGTGATAATTTCTTTGTTGAATTTTTACAACAAATTTATAACGTTATAAATTATAATATAGTCATAGAAAATGCTATATATATATATATATATATATATATATATATATATATATATATATATATATATATATATATATATATATATACATATATATATATATACACAAATAGTATTGCATACAAAGGTAAGAAATCTGACATCATACTGAAACAGTCTGCTGCTGTGGGCTTCAGTACATACATCGACTGACAAAAAGCCTGACTCGCAGAGGAGAGCTGCTACATAGCCTAAGGGTTTTGGGGCAGCAACCTTTTCAATCATTATTCTTTGTTTTCTTATTCTTTTTCTAAAAAAGCTGTATAGATTAAGATAAGCAAAAAAAGTGAGCAAATGCTTATAAAAATACACTATAGTAAGTGTATATACACCTATATATATATATATATATATATATATATATATATATATATATACATATATATATATATATATATATATATATATATATATATATATATATATATATATATATATATATATATATATATATATATATATATATATATATATATATATATATATATATATATACATACCTATATATATATATATATATAAATATATATAAATATATATATATATATATATATATATGCATCCGGCTGCTGTCTTGTAGAAGGCCTCCTAGGCAAAGACTTAAGGGGTAAACAGATTCTATCAGTTGCTATCAGTTATATCGCTCTCCCTCATCTCAAGACTGCACTCTTCTTGATGTTATATCTGATTATATTGACCAAGCCCTCATTCTTTATCCATCAGTTAATATTGGCTGATGGATAAAGAATAATGATCCTAGTCAGTGCTCAGTTTCTTCACACTCACCCTTAGGTGCATCTGATCATGGTTTGGTCTCTCTAAAACTATTATCTCATTCATCTTTACCATCAGAATCCCCCTATCATCGTACATCTTACAACTACCTTAAAGCTGACTGGGACTCTTTTCGTGATTTTCTTAGTGATGGCCCCTGGGTAGAAATCATTCGTCTCCCTGTTGACAAATGTGCTTCTTACATAACTTCGTGGATTCAGGCTGGCATGGAGTCCTTTATTTCCTCTCGACGATTCCAGGTCAAGCCTCACTCTTCTCCATGGTTTTCCTCACATTGTGGTGCTGCAATTGCCAATCAAAACCATTACTTCCATATCTATCAGCAAAACAATTCTCCAGAAAACAGACGTCTATTTATTACTGCTAGGAACCATTGTAAAAAGGTTTTGTCTAACGCCAAAGCCCGCTATTCTCAGATCATGAAATCTTTTTTTTTCATCACAAAAATTAGGCTCTCGTGACTTCTGGAGAATCTTTAATAGTATCAATAATAAGGGCAAGTCTGTAATTCCACTTCTTTTGTATGGTTCAGACTTTGTCATCTCACCTAAAGACAAAGCTGAATTGTTTGCCAAAAACTTTTCATTAATATCATCTCTTGATGCCACTAGTTGCGTTCTACCTGATATTGCTGTCAAACAGGTTGATGCATTGCTCGACATTCGTATCACTCCAGCTTCTGTATCTTAAGTGATTTCCCGCTTAGACTCTTCTAAAGCTTGCGGCCCAGACAACATACCTGTTATAGTCTTGCAGAAGTGTTCTCCGGAGCTGTCGTCTATCCTTTCAAAACTATTTAACAAGTGCTTATGAGAGTCTTGTTTTCCAGCCTGCTGGAAAGTAGCATCTGTTATCACTATTTTTAAAAATTCTGGAGAGCGATCTGATTCATCTAACTACCGTCCCATTAGTCTTCTTCCTATCATAAGCAAGGTTTTTGAATCTTTAATTAACAAACACTTAATCTCTCATCTCGAATCTCATAACCTACTTTCTGATCATCATTATGGATTTTGATCTTCTCGTTCTACGGCTGATTTGCTAACAGTAATAACCAATAGGTTTTATCGCGCATTAGATAAAGGTGGAGAGGTTAAGGCCATCGCTCTTGACATTTCTAAAGCATTTGATAAAGTTTGGCATGCTGGTCTTCTCCATAAGCTTTCTTCTTACGGTGTATCTGGAAACATCTTTAAGATTATTGAATCCTTTTTTTTTCAATCGTAGTATAAAAGTTATCCTTGATGGACAGCACTCTTCTTCTTATTCTGTAATCCCAGGGGTTCCTCAAGGTTCAATTCTTGGCCCTATACTCTTTTTAATTTACATTAAGGATCTTCCATATATTCTCACATCTAAGGTGGCATTGTTCGCTGATGATACTACCATTTATTCTTGTCACGATAAGAAGCCAACTCCCTCTGATTGCTTGCAGGGGGCATTTGAGCTTGAAAAGGATCTCACTTCTGCTACAGCATGGGGCTCACAGTGGCTGGTGAACTTTAATTCAGATAAAACTCAATTTTTTTCAGCCAATCATTATCGCAATAATTAGACCTTCCTATATTTATGAACGATAATGTACTTGATGAGTCATCTACCCTTCATCTTCTAGGATTACCTCTCACTTCTGATCTTTCTTGGAAGCCTTATATCAAATCCGTTGCAAAATTAGCATCTGCTAAGGTTGCATTCTCTTTATCAAGCTCGAAACTTTCTTACTCTGGATTCTATTCTCTATCTCTATAGATCTCAAACCCAGCCTTGTATGGAATACTGTTGCCATATCTGGGGCGGATCTTCTAATGATGCCCTTTCTCTTTTAGACAAGGTGCAAAAACGCATTGTAAACATAGTTGGACCTGCTTTTGCAGCCAACCTTCAACCTCTGTGACATTGTCGAAATGTTGCTTCTATTTCTCTTTTCTACAAATACTATAATGGGAACTGCTCTAAAGAGCTAGCGTCTCTTGTGCCATCTACTAAAATTCATTCTCGTGTTACTCGTCATTCAATTAAGTCTCATCCTTTTTCTGTTACTGTTCCTAAGTGCTTCAAAAACTCTTATTCATCTAGTTTTTTTCCTCAAACATCAGTTCTCTGGAATTCGCTCCATTCATCTTGCTTTCCTGATTCATATAATTTGCAATCTTTTAAGTCATCTGTCAATTGTTATCTTGCTCTACAACCTTCATCTTTTCTCGTCCAGTAACTTCCAACACTAATTAGTGGTTGCTTGCAGCCTTGTTGGAAACGAAGACAATTAAAAATATATATATTTATTTATATATATATATATATATATATATATATATATATATATATATATATATATATATATATATATATATATATATATATATATATATATATATATATATATATATTTGGGTTATCCTGCTGCCCCATAATTTTTAAATTTTTGAGTAAAAAAGCCTGACTTTTTTTTGGTGTGGAAGTTACTTTAACTAAGAGCAATCAAAAATTTGAGAGTAATTGGACAATGTTTAGTGGTAGCAGATTTCAATCAAAGTTTTGTATTTAGCCGCAAAGTTGAAAGTTTCCAATTTTTAGAATACAAATCTCTGGGGCAACCTAATATATCTTTTTTACTTTATTCTGATTTATAGAAGCTTTTCGCTATAAAGGGAGTAGAATAAACAAATTTAAAAATTAGGTGTGCTATTTAGGCAGAAGCAATAAAAGCAAGGGAGGGGGTTTATTTAATTACTCCACATTCAGCAAAATAGTTTCTAGAAACCATATTTTTTGAAACTAGAAAAACTTTATTTTTATGCCATTCTGTATTTATATTTAATATGGTAAAAAAATACTGGGGAGTCTTCACCAATAAAATCAATCAAATCATTTACAGCCATTTTAAGAACCATTAGAAATATAGGTTTACCAAACTTTGACCCTTTTCTTTTTTAAGTTATTTCATTCTATGTCACATAATTTGTTAGTAATAGAATTTTATTAGCAATCTTTTGCCTCTACTTGTCTTCTAAGTTATTATTAAAATAGAGACAGTGAAGCTAACTCAGTGAGATACCACAGTGATACCAGATACCAGCCTCAGTGAGATACCACATGTTATTGCTGAAAGCTTTCAGAGCAGCATTAGCAATAGTTAAATCAATAACTTTATATTCTAATAATAAATTAATAAGATTTATATTGTTAGTAGGAGCTGCTGAAGATACAGTTACACTTAGCCACCATGGAATATAACAAAATACAACAAACTGAACAATCCTTTTTAGCTTAGGAAGTTGTTGTAAAGCAAATATATATATATATATATATATATATATATATATATATATATATATATATATATATATATATATATATATATATATATATATATATTTATAAGTATATATTTATAGAAGCCTTCACAGGAAGCGCGTACGGATGCACATCTTGTTCGCCCACAATTAAAGTAACTTTTTAGAATATTTTTATATAGTAAGAGTTTTGCGGCAAAATAAAGCTCTAAGAAACTACAAAAAATAAAACAGCAATACTCAAAAAAAGGAAACAAATAGTATACAAAATAGAAAATCTATATAAAACAAACTAAAAAAAAATTGATATTTAAAAAAAGAAAAATTTTGTCAAAACAATAATATGCCTTAATATTTTACCATTTTTGTTTTCTTTTTTTTTAAGGTGTTTGCTATTTTCCACTACCATTTATAAATACTAATTAATACAAGTCAAGGTAAAAAAAGCAATTATGAATATCATGAAAACAAATACATTTTTTGATATACCATTTATTTGCGACTTTTGTCAGTCAGTATATTCAAGAAATATTTTATTATTTGCGCTGGAAATAAGGATAATTTTAAAATTTGTTTTTCAAATATTTTTGGTAAACTTTATTGTTTTTATCAATGCACAGGAAAGCAAGAAAACTTAATGGTATTTATATGTAAAAAATATATTTATACATTTTTAACAAGTTTTTTACGTAAAACAATAAAAAGTCATTAATACCAATGTTTAAATATAAAATATTTGGTTGTTTTCATTATCCCCATTAAAACAATCTGCGCTTTTGTTAGATTCTCCAAAGTGTGCATTTAAACCCAATAGTTTATTTCCTGATGAATTTTTGTTATCAATGCCCCAAAAGCTTGCGGGCCAGTGTGTTGTTAATTTACCAAACTTTTTAAACAAATTTTTAGGAGCCTATTTAAAAATCTTTAAAAATATGTAAAAATACATTTTTTCAAACAGATTATGTTAACTATCTTTAGTAATTCATCTTAACGTTGAAAATTGGACAATATAAAGAAAACAATATCAGACTAGCATCAAATATTGTAAATACATTTATAAACAAAACCAAGGTATTATTCAATATCTTCCGTCATTACAAAATTTAATAACCAAATAATAAATTTAACAAATAAATATCAATTTATTTTCTAATTTTTCTATTATATAAAGGGTGTAGTGTAAGTTATTGGACAAAATAAAAATTTCAATAACTTATTTATAAATAAAAAAAACTATTATATTTTTTTAAAATGAAGTATTTATCTTTTAATAAAAATAAGTTAGTTTTTAAATGAAAACACACCACCATCTGCAATTGATCTCGATTTTGCTCTGACGCCTTTCATAAGCGACTGTAAAAAATTTATATTAATTTCTTGTAGTTTTAATTTAATTCAATTAATCAAAAATTGCTCTGTTTAAGCAATCTCCCTCGTAAACTTTTTGTCTCCAAAAGTTTTCAATTATTTGTGCTTGAGGCACATTTGGGGGATTGGATTCTTTATCAACATAATAGAAATTTTGGTCCATCAAATTTAGAGAATCTTTAGAATAATGAGAACTGGTTTCCATGTTACTTGTGAATGAATGTTTCCATGATACTTGTGAATGAATGGAAGAAGTCATTTTCCATCAATATAGATTGATGAATTAGTTACTACAGCTTTAGAAATGTGAAACAATGGCTTGGACATACCACGGTCAGATATGGCTATCCATATTAATTTTTTTTTTGTGAATTTCTCTTTTTCTATAAAGCGATTTTGTGTTATAGAGTTGGTTTACTAGTTTCCTGTTTCTTTTCTTTGTCTTTAATTAATTTTCTATTGTGTATTTTAGAATTTTTTCATGTTTTTTATATATAATATTCATTTTTTTTTTAACTGACGACCAATTGTTGATCGATTTACACGGAATTTAAAACCTATTTTCCTCTGACCAACCCTTTTTCAATTGTTGACAAGTCTCGTTAACCAGCTTTCTTTTCTCTAGTCCACAATGTTGGATGACCAGGGTGCTTTCTATCAGAAAAGGATTAAACAGTTTCAAGTCTTTTTAGGTTATCATATATTGTACTTCAAGCAAATCTTTCCTTTTCAAAATGACTTACAATATTTTTTTTATATGTTAGGTTTATTTACAAAAAAAACAATTTGAGTTGCTTTCGAAAATATTCAGCTGCATTTAACCTCATTTTAAATAATTGAGTTTCAAATAATAAAGCTTTTATTTTATAGAACATTTATGGCTATGCATAAAACCATAAAAACAAATTATTATGCTCAAATATTCAAATTCAGATTTGTCCATTATCTTCCACATAACCCATTAAATATTAAAAATAAAAAATAAAAAAAATATAGCAAAAAGAAATTTTAAAGTTAAGGCATGAAAACGAATAAATGTAAGAAAAAAGAATTAACAAAGTTTCTCGTAGTTCTAGCATACATAGCAAATTAGTTTCTTAAAAATCGTGAATTAACTGCATATCAAAACTTTTATAAAATTATATAAATTATATTAATTTAAAATTAAAAATTATATAAATTATATAAAATATAAAATTAGAAAATTGTTGTTATAAAATTTTTTTTTTCCTTGACTTGCATCAAATTCGGTAACTAAAAATAACATTTAAATTTTATTAATAATTTTTTAATAACAATATTGTTTAATTTAAATATATATCATAAAGACTTACAACTTTTAATGTGGTTTTAAATTTAATTACAAAGAGCAGAAGAGAAGTAGGTAGGAATACAGAGACCTTAACCATATTTTTTTCGAAAAAAATCAGACAAATTGATCAGACAAACTTAAGTTATTTTAACTCTAGAACAGGTTTTCAGTAATTTCAAAATACAATTATTGTTATATTAAAAGACACAAAAATGTGACAGAATGGTTAATACTTTATAAAAAGGTACCAAAATGACATCCTTCCTCACTTCAAACTCTGATTACAGGCCTTTTTACAAGATTTTGTAGCATAACAGAAAAGTCTAACACATGTAAATGTTATTTTATGTAACCGACTTGAACTAGAAAAAATGATTTCTTTAAGTTAAAAAATTGTGAAAATATTTGACATTCATTACATTACAAAATTAAAATTGAATTTTTAATTTTTATATTTCACTACTTAAACTTTATCAAAAGACAACTTAAATATTCCGATAGATAAAGTTTTTGGCCTAATGTAAATGGCTTAAGGCGTAATAATTGTTGTAATATTGAAATATGTTGTGTTGTATATAATTTAATGCTTCTTAACAAAGCCTGTGATTATAGAAACTCTTTAGAAATCCTAAAGTGATTTTACAACAGATTTGAATAAAGTTTTAAATAAAATTTCACTGCTTTTGTTTAAGTTTAGAAAGCAAAATAAAACAAATAAAATCATGACGCCTTTTCCTTCAAAAAAAAATGACATTTTAAGTATACTTGCAATTAAATTATTATATCAGTTTATTAAAGAAAAACCTTTTTCTTTAATAATCTAATATAAAAAATATTACTGGAACATACAACCTACAACTTGCCCTTATTTTGGGTTTTTAGTAACTCCCAACTTAATTATGTTTGATTGTGGCCTTGTTGAGAGTGAATTAGAATTAATAATTAAAAAAAAAACATAAGAAATTCTTATGTTATAAAAATACATTTTAAGTTCAAATGAAGTCTTACATAAGATTAGGATATCCTGCTTTACCTTTGCTTTTTGCATACACATGCAGTTTTCTTAAGTTCTAAAAAATAAGATTTTTATTTATTATAATTTTTATTTAACTTAAAAAATCAGAAAACTTTTATTAAAACTTAATTCATACTTTTTCAAAATGTAGAAATATTTTTCAACATATTTACTATATCATATATAGACAAGCAATTGCTTACTATTTTTACTTATCTTTATAGCATATGGCTTTTTTAGAAAAAAAAGGAAAAAAATAAAGAATAATGAAAGAAAAGATTGCTGCCCAATCCCAAACCCTCATTTGACGTGACAGCACTCTTTTGCAGCAGCAGGCTATAAGATAGTCAATATATTGAAGCCCTTGGCAGCAGGCTATTTCAGTGTGACGTCACACTGCATACCTAAACAGGGTTGCGAGATGTCAGACTTTTACAAAGGAGAACTCAGTAAAAAATGTATTTTTACAAGTTTGGCACTGTATTCTCTTCCATAAAAGCCGGACGTCTTGCAACCCTATATCTAAGTGTTGCTACATCGACTATCTTATAACCTGTTTCGCAATGGAGTGCTGCTACATGGACTGACAATGCCTGCCTTGCAACGGAGTGCTTCTACATCAACTGAGGGTTTGTTTTGGGCAGCCAGTCTATTAAATAAATTTAAAAAAAATATTTTTCCAGTCTTAAAAATAAAATAAAAACTTAAAGCTGACATTTTATGGTGAAAACTTAAAAATGACCAAGCAAGAGTATATATATATATATATATATATATATATATATATATATATATATATGCTCGAATGTTCTACCTATTTGTCAGTTAATGTAGCAGCACAAATGGCATGTTTTACCTATTTGATGTAGCAGGACTTCTCCTATGTTCTACCTACTTGTCAGTTGATGTATCAGAACTCTTTACTATGCCATGATTTGACACATAAGTTACTTAGGATCATAATCAAACACTTTTCCATACCTCTTTTTGATGCTAACTTTAACATAGATGAGTATTTGACTTTATGAAAATCCTGGAAATTTTTTTATATTTTTTTTTAATGATAATCCCGGAAAATTATTTTATTAAAAATTGATCGCATTTAACTAACAAACAGAATTTAGATTATTTTAAAACGGAATTTAGATTATTTAACTTTTTTACAAAAAGGAATTTCTAATATTCGAAAAAGTTTGAATGAATTAAAAAGCAAAAATAAAAAAAAATAAATAAAAAAATTGTTACAAAAATTGATCTCGTGACTTTTAAGTATAGAAAACATATTTGTTTAAATGCAAAAGTTTTCGTATGTAAAATTTTATGTAAAAATATATTAATTTTTTTCAAATTAATATCAAAAAACATCGGGAAATTTCTAGAAAAATTAAAGATGTTTTAAGTGAATTTCTAGAATTCCAGGAATTTCTGGAAAAAACTCATCTATGTTTTAAACAGTGGCCTTAAGCGGTATGACTTTTTAAAAACTAATAGATTATTGAAACATATGCTAGTTTTGGTTAACTTGAATATAGTAGACTAGTTTACAGAACAGAAAAGGGCAGAATAGCTACAAAGAAAAGATAACAGTCAATTTTTGAAATAAATATCAGGTTTTAATGGGTAAATACACTCAAAGTATTGTTGGGAGAATTAAATAAACTTATGCCATTTTTTATCAATTTTGGAATATCATTTGTGGCAAGCAGGTTCAGAGTATGACTACCATACCTCATTTGTTTTAGTAAATACTTATCATAACTTTGTTCTTGTTTATTTGTCATAATGATTTTTCATTGATTGTCTCAAGTTCATATGTATCTTCTTCTTCATCTAGTAAATTTTGTATTTCTGCTAATTTTAGTGATAATACATTTTTGCTATCATCTCATTCGGTATCATTTCAGCATTTATTGTATGTATTATTTGGCTTCGATAAAATTGCAACCATTGTCAGTCACAGTGAAAGCTATGCTATAATGATCAAAGATAGAAATATCAAAAAGTTGCGCTGTAATTGCATCAAATGTATGATTTACTTTAAATATTTGCAGGCAAGTTTACCATCAAGTTTGTTTCTAAAAGTTGGACAACACATAACGATCAATGAGGGAGAAAGGATGATAACTAAATTTATAAATGATTATCTTTTAACTGTTATCAATGCTCATAACACCCTTGTAACTTATTTACCTTTTTTTTTCAATATATATATTAGCAATATAAATTTGGTTTATTATCGGCAGATGTCCACATGGTCTCTAATAATGATTTTTACAAGTTAAATGATGTATGTTAATTATATGTATTTTATTCTAAATGATTATGTTACAATTGAGTCTCAGTGAGACGAGATTAGTATTAAAAACTTGTTTTAATATTATTACATCTTAAAATACCTTATAATTTTATAACTAATTATATGATTTTATAAATGTGTACATGTAATTCATATTTTATATAATTAAAACATAAAAAATATTTAATGATATGTAATACAAGAAAACTTGAAGTCAATCCATATATATATAATAATACTTGAAATTAATCCTATATTTTGGATGCAGTTGTAAATGGCACAAACTTAATTGCAAAAAATTGACAAAGGTGACATATATGCAAAAGCTGTAAAATTTGTTTTAAAGAGAGTAATAAACAATGGCTATCATGATTACTTTTCACACTCAATTAAGCAAATCGTGATTAGTTTGCACACCTTTGCGATTAGTTTTTTCTTAAAAACAATATCTTGCAATTAGTTTTTTTTTTTTACTTTTTTTTTTACTTTTCTAATTTAGCTTTTTTTTTAAATCTATGCGTGGAAACCAATAATATTTAAAAGTTTTATTAAATTTGATTTATGTAATGGAAATAGTACATCACAGTAAATTTACCTATAATACTAACTCAAAACAACCAGTTTATTTGTTATAGTAACTTACAGTTACTCAACTTTTAAATTTACCTAATATAATCAAAGACTTGCAAAAGTTAGCCATACAAATGTTTATATCTATATCTTACATGATGTTAACATACAATATAAGCTTCTAATTAAAAGTTATTTTAACAAGAGATCTGGAACGGAATATGAAAAAATGAGATACCATTTTTTTATATTTTTATTTTACTTAAAGCAGTATCAAGATTAAATATTTTTTATAAATATGCAATTTGTTTTTAGGATTTTTTTTACAAAAGAAATCTATTTGAAAAAAAGAATTTTAGTCTTATAAATTTTCTTATTCAAATGATTTTGTGATTGAAATTTGAAATAAAATAAAAATTTGAAAAAATTTAAAAGAATTTTAATGCTCAATAATTCTAATTGCAGCAGAGTCCATAATACCTTGCAGCAGAGTCCATAATACCTTGTGAAATATACACAATACCTTGTGACATAGCGAGGATCATTCTTGAAAATTAAACATTTTTGTACTTCTATAAATTTAAACCTGCATATTGTTCGAAAAAGAAAAAATAATTTTAATAGAGTGTTAAAAAAAGATATGAAATTTTAATAAATTTTGAAAATGCAAATTTTCCAATTTTATTAAGATATCATATCGTTTTTCCCCCTTCTCCTCACATTTTTCTGGATCCACCAATCCAAAAAAAAAAATTAAAAAATCACCCTCCATTCATCACCACCCTTACTAGATGGTCTGCTTGCTACAGTAACAATGTCAGATTTAGAACATAGTACAAGTGAGTAAGAAAGTTTTATTTAAATTGTAAACATTTTGAACAGTTAATTACTTTTTGTTTCTTGAAAATAGATTTAAAAATAGAAACATTCGATTGCAAATATTAAACTAGAGATTATTGCAAACATTAACCAAATTTTAAAAAATTTAAATTAAAAAAAATTTTTACTTCTGTTCAATTTAAAAAAATAATAATAATTTTAACTTAAACTTATGTAAATTGAATGAAAACGTCAACTTTAAAACCATTTGAATGAAAAATTAATTATACTTAAATTTTTAATAGTACACAAGATCAAGAAACAATAAATTATAAAAACTGTAGTATCTAATGAACTTTTGATTTTCTTACTCATCTACATTAACACAAGCTCTTTATATGTAAAAACAACTTTGCAGTTTGTTTAATGTTGTTTTATAGATTTTTACATTAACAATTCAATACTCTTTAAATATAAAACGCGTTTTATCATCATTAAATAATTTTCAAAAACTAATTAAAGTGGTTTAAATATTAAATATTGTAATTTTTACTATTACTTTTTTACTTTTACTTTTCTAAGTATCATGTTAAGAAAAACAAATACTAAAATTATTATCGTAATAGTATTAAATACGTTACTTGCTCATTTTATTATAACTTGTTCATTACACTATAACTGCAACTTAAACTTTAAATTAAAAACTTAAGCTGTAAATTATAACAGTAACTCACGCTACATTAAACTCTGCCAAACGAGAAAATTGTAAGATAATTTGAGAGATGTTATGATAAAAAAATAACAATTACAAACTAATGTAGAAAAGATACAATTTTATACTAATGCAATCCCCCCCCCCCAATCTTTACCGCAAAGTGGCGCAAGAAATGAGGGGGTGTGGAAGGTAAAAAAAAATTTTAATTCGAGCGTTAATTCAAGCCTTGATTAATTTAAATATAAACTTAAGTATGAAGTAGAAAAGGCTGTCATAACCTATAGGTTACACAAGGAAACCTGTTGCAGCATTTTAATACTATACTAAAATATATATAGTGTCCTAAAAAATAACTTTTTTAAAAAAATGTCTGCTTCCACCCTCTAATTATGTTCTATATAATAAAATAATACTAGAAGTAAAAAAAAAAAATTTAATATTTTTAGGGGTCCCTCAAGTCCTACAAACAGCAGAAAGAATATTAAAAGGTCCAAATGAAAAGGTTCTTCAAAAGTATATTGTGTTGGGTCTCAAAAGAAGGAAAATTTTACAAAAAATTTTAAAAATAATTATTATTTTTAAAAAGACATTAGGAAAAAAAAAATATAATAAATCTTTTGATAAAAAAGCATATTTTTTTAGTTGAAAATATAAT